CCATGACCGGGGTCGTCTGGCGGGTCAATGTTAACCCCGGATTAATAAGCCCCTGGTTGATTTTGAGTGGGGGGGTGTCTCCTTTTAGTGGGGATTCAGACCACTTTTGGAGGGGAACCCCTAACAATGGGACGGGTTTATTAATCCTGGGTCAACATTAGGGCCCGACCCCACCAGAAATCAGTGCGGCTTTTCGCCCTTTCCGAGCTTACCTTGAGGAGGCAAACGGCGCATTGCCTTTTGTTTGGATGGTCACTTGAGTAGCAGCTGGGAAGTGAAAAAATGCGTCCCTGCCAACTTGCGAACCCCATAGCATCAAGGGAATATGGAATTGCCAGGAGACCAGTCCCCCACCTGTTCGTTTGGCCGTCCTTTTGCTGATCAGCTCTTGCGTCCAACAAACTCACCTTGGCGTCCGTCTCAAACAAAGATAAGCTGGGGCAATGACGAGAGCGCCTGGGGGCAGGGAGGGGAAGCTGCTGCTGGCCGGGCAACGGTTCGACACTGTTTGCATCCTTCCCGGGAATCCTGCAAGTGCAAGGTGGGGGGGCGGTCCATGTTCACACCTGCAAGCATTGTTCCCAAAAAGGAAAGTCACCAATCCTCAAAGGTGGACGTGAATCCCCACCATGTCCACCAGGGTTCATGAACCAGTTACAGCCCGAGAGGACTTAAAGGGGCGATCGGGCACGTCAGGTAAGTGGATGGGAACCACTGAACGAGACAACCCGCTGAACGGAGACGTATTTCACCCTGGCTGTTGTGGGTTGTCTCACCATGGTTCCTAAGCACTTAGCGCGTCCCTGAGCCAACTTGGGAACCCCACAGCATCAAAGGAGTTGTTTTTTTTTCGGGGTCCAAACGTGACAACCTCAAACGTGGATTCACTCACCATGTCAACAGGGCCCATGAACAAATTACAGCCTGAGAGACGTCACGGCCTTTTTTTCGCCAGGGCTGCCACCAGAAGGGTGACTCAGAGCTGGGATGCTTCTCCGACGCGGAGCTTCTCGACTGAAGTCCGGGGGGCAGGGCTCCCTGTATTTCCCCTTTTCCTGGTTTTAGACATCACCTTTTGCTTGCCAATTGGAAAAGAGCTTCCTTTTGGTCGAGTGATGTTTCAAGGGGAAATAGAGGCAGGCCTAGACCCAAGATGCTTTTGCAGGCGAAAAGATCGGGTGCCTCACGTTCAGCACGCACAAGCAGACACAACTAGGTCCCTCAGCTAAGTGCCCTTTGACCAACTTTTTTGGTGGAGGGTTCCCCTACTAAAATAGACTGCAGAAAAAAAAGGGTACCCGTATTCTAACCTCTCTACTGGAGGACCTAGACAACAAGCACACTGCACACACAAAAGCAACCTAGCACATCAAGCGGCCAAATTGTAACAAGCTCAGCTAATCTCACAATTTAAGGTTTAGTTTGTCGGGGACCATTCCTTGGGAATTCATATGGCAAATCGGCCAAATGACAAACAGATTCAAGCAAATCACACATATGGCGCACACCCAAAGAAGATCTAACGCGTCAAGAGGCACCGACACATCTATGAACTATCTATCTATATAGATAGATATATATATATATACACATGTATGTGTATATGTAGACACACACGAGCAACCGCAAAGAAAGTACACAGAGCCCCAGAAAACTCACAAGCTGTGGTGTGGTAGAAGGCCACCTTGCTGAACTCTGACCCAGGCCCTTTGTACAAAGCTCAGAGGGTCCTGATTCAACCCCCCAAGTACTGGTAAAACGGGGACCCGATTCGGTTCGTTTAGTGTACCCAAATGCGCATTTGTTTCCACACAAGCTTGCCCTAATTTTCGCAAGTGACCCGCATCCAACCACTGGAAATTGGAATGTATAGGGCCTCCCTTCCCCTTGTGAGATTTAGCATGGCTGGTTTTTGCTGTGTTTTGGAACCACTTGGCAAATCCACACCTACACGAGATGCTCGATCTTTTGCTGGGGAGAGCAACCCAGTTAGGACGCACTTTTGCACCCAACTGGAATATTTTTTATTGTATACCGGCGAATTGTTCTCCTCTTCTTGCCAGATTTAGGACGCCGGTGTCAGCCCAATATCCTTATCCATTCCGTAAGGTCTCTGTTTGGGTGGCATGTCTGAATCGAATCGAGGTGTGATTGGGATATCCCTCGAAGGCTATGGGCCTTTGACAGGTGTACCATGGGCCACTTCAGGTACACCCACGTTGGTGAAGGAAGACCCACCTTCCTTTGTTTCCGGAAAGGGATTTCCCGGCATTCCAAGCCAAGCCACCACTTTTTTTGGAGACAAGGGAAAGGACCTCCCAGCATCCAAACCACCCTCAGAGCCGTTGCTAGCCACTCAGTTGTTCAGTGGCACCCTTTTTCCCAATTTTTATTGGGGTTTGGTGGCTGCCCCACTAAACATGGTCTTCCCCAACGAGTTGTTTTTTTCTTTTCCAGGGTCACCGAACACCTGAGACCAGAGCCCGGGCTGCTGAAACTCAGTCAGCGCCGCTTGTCCGCCGCTTGTCGCTCGTCTCGAGGACCCGGCCGCCGTCTCCCTCCGCCTCGCAGACCCCTAGCCCGCGCTCCGACTCGGACGTGCCCCCGGGGCTTCCCCGACCGCCGCTCGGTTCTGGCCGCGAGGGACGGCGGGACCAACAAGTCTGGCCGTCAGGGGGTGGTTTGTTTCCTGAGGGTATCATTTGGCTGGGGGGAAGCCAAAGGAACAAGCTAAAACAACGTGTTTGTCGAGGGTTGACATGTGTTTGTTAATTGTTTGGGGTGCAATTTTCGGAGTTGGTTCAAAGGGAAGCCCAAGGAAAAAGGACGTATGAACCCATTTTGGAAGTTGCACCGCTATTTTGATACAACCCCCTTTTGATGATTCTACATGATTTCCCCGATGAGAAGCAATGGCGATTCTTCCTTTCACGGAGGTTGCAAGTCAACCATGGGATCACAGGCCCCTCTGTGGCATTTTCTCACCCGGGATGGACGAGGATTTGCCAAACCTCTCCATTTTGATCAGCCCCCGCTTTTGAGTGGTTGCCAAGACTCGTGTCCCCAGTGCCTGAAGTGTTTACTGCGGGGAGGTTCTGCAGTGGGAAGCAACGCCAACAGTTAGGACTTTGTTTGGCCCAACCCACTCAAGAAAGGGTCAAGTTAACGGGGAAAAAGCAAGAAGGAGATTGAATGGAGATTGCTCACTCCATGTACGCCTAAAATGGCAGGCGCGTCCCTTTTGGCTTCCCTTTCAGGCCAAATTCCAAAAGGAGTTCGAGCAATAAGGCAGAATCACAAAGGGAACCCTACTGGCTCCTGACAAGCCCGCTTCACCCCAGTTGGTAGGTGGGTCGGGAACCACTGCTTATGGGTTATCATTTGTTACAATCGGTACCTCCGAAACTGTGACCCTCTCTCCCACCCACCTTCCAGGTGCCCTCCCGGTGCCATGTTGGGTTCGGAGGGTACGTTTTGGTTCAATTCCAAGTTCCTGGGGTGAAAAGGGGTCGTTCAGCACCTGTTTAGGTACCAAGGGACCCTCTGGGCTTCAAAACCAAGCGCAGGGCACACCCTCACAGACAAAATGGCACCCTTATTCCATCCTCTCCACCGGACAACCTAGAAGCTGAACACTCTCAAAACCACACGCCTCGCGGCAGCCCATTCCAGTTCTTGCCCCCAAGGCTGCAGCTGGCGACCCTGCTGTCGCGCCCGGTGCTGCGGCCTCCCCCTGGACTTCTGGAGATCCCCCAGGAAAGCCGAAGCACCAAATGATTCCTTGACTGCTATTGGGTAGCGGATCTTTACACTTGAACCTTTTTGGTGGAAATCAAGTTGGGGTTTCCACGAAACCCACCAAAAGTCAAACTTTCTTGGCAGGAGGGGTCAACAGCAACCAAGATTCTGAGGCCACCAAACCACCCCTTTAATTTTCCTACTGGTGAGCTTACCTACTTCCCTTTGCTGAAATGAATATGTTTGTTTTTTTTCCTGGTGGCTCTGAAGCGAATCTCTCACGAAACATTATGATTTGTTCCAGGCGACTTATGCAAATGGAGGCAACCAAGCCACCCCTAAAGTCTTGGAAGGAACATGGCTGGTAAAATCTCACCGGGTCCCTTAGAGATGAAATTGGGGGAGGGGGATCGACCAATAGAAATCTCCATTTATGAGAGGGTCCTCTCGCCCTGAAGGTAAGGGAACCTGGGTTCCAACTGTAAGGGCAACTGGGATCTTGAAGGAGAAGCCTTGCAGCCAGGAAGCCCTTGTTGAGCTTGCGCAAGCGGCACTTGGTGTCTTTCGAAGACAGGTTGGCTTTGGGGTATCGCACAAACCCCTGACAGAGTCGAGACGGTGCAAGCAGGCCGTTGACAGGGATGCCTTCAACTTTTGTGAAGCGCAGGCATTTGCCGAGATGACCCGATTTCAGAGTTTCAGGCCGCCCGACTTTAGGATGCCCATGGGGAATTCACCCGTTTGCCGAGGTGAGAGGTTCCTAGTTCTGCAACTCACCGACCGCGAAGCGAGGTCTCAGCCCCGCAAGCAACGAGGTGTCACATGGCAGAGAGCAGTTCTATTGCACTGGCCTTGCTTTTTTCGATCCCTGGCCTGCAACATTGGCAAGGAAGCGTCCGGATTCACTGAGTTTTTAGGTGGCGCTGAGTGGTTCTTGGAAGCTAGGGTAGCTCAATGTAGCTCACGTTTTGTCGGCGGCCACCCTTGGGGTCCCCATGCCCCTTTTCACGGAACGAGTGAATCCGCGCTGTGCCTATCGCGTGCGGTAGGTGAACATGGGCGTGTTTAGCCCCTAGTGCAAGGAAGTCTGTGCAGGTTGTGGCGCCCGTGTTGTCCAGGATGACTTCTTGGGACAACATGGACAGGGGGTGCTTGGTTCGAGCCTTTCCTGGTGCCGTGAGTTTTTTTAAGCAAGGCCCATTCCACCCAACTTGTGATTGGGATTTGGGAGCTATGCTAACTGCCCGCCATCCCAGAGTCCCATGCCAGAGATTTGGCATGTGCAGGAGCCGCAGTGGATGGTGGCCAACCCCAGCGCGGCTTGGCGCAGAGTGAAATGAAGGAAGACCCGGTTGATCATTAGGGGAACGACTCCAAAGATGATTTAGCAGTGCTCCACAGCCCCAAGTGGTCAACCCAGGCAATTTATAACCAGCTCAGTTGTCCCCCGAGCCACCGTCCTCCTTTCCCCAAAGAAAAATATATTGCAACGCCTGTAAATCGTGGAAGTGCACGCACGATCACGGGGCCTTCCCCAAAATCCTGCGATCGCCTTCTATTTTGAGAGCCGTTTGAGCGGCTTTGGATGGCTCACTTTCCCAGAAAATCCCTTGGTACCTAAGAAGGTACTGAGCGCCCCCTTACCTCCCAAAAGCGATCCTGGGTTTGGGATAGTTCCAGCTTTTTCATGGAGCTCCGAGGCCAAGTTTAAGTCCGCCTGCGGCTGCGCCCTGGTCTCTCCGCCCATCCTGGCGCCTCGACCTGACCGCCAGGGCGGCAGGGCGGCTTTTTGCTTGGGCTTCCCTCCCCCAGAAGAAGCCATGTTTTTGAAAGGATTCTCGTTTGGAGGGGCGTTCCAACTTGGGCAGATGTCTCTTGGCTTCTGGGCTTCCCTTGACTGCACAGATGCATATTGTAACCAAGAAGCCATATTCTCGGTTGCACCCCAAGCAGGGTTTAGCCATATGAGATTTTTGGGTCCACGTGCCTGGCGCTTGACAATCCGCACGGAGTCCATGATGGTCCCTCGCGCGTCTTTAAGGGTTCGGAGAACACAAGGGAGCCGGGTGGTGAGCAAACCTAGCTGTTTTACGAATCGCTGTTTTTTTGTGTGTGTGTGTGCGCGCGCGCCAAGGCCCTTTCTTTGGGACTTGCGATTGCTTTCTGGGGCGTGAAGCAACAAACATACGCAGCCTGCAACAATGCACATTTCATATCCACCCCAAACACCCATAGAACCAAACGAATACCCATCCTACACCCCAAACCCACCCCGAAATCGATTGAAAGCAACCCTGAACCCATCCTAAGCCCATCCAAACCCTGGCAAACCCCCTCTCCTACACCCGACCGAAACCGACCCTCACACCAACAGTTGAAACAAACTAAACTAGTCCCAAACCCGCCCCAAATCCAACCCAAGAAGCCCCAAACCAACCCAACACACATCCCTGCCGCAAGTGCAGGAACCATTCTCGAAACCTCCCGCAATATTGAGCAACCCCAAACCCAAAAATAGAGAGACAGAGAGAGAAACAAAAGCCTAGCTGCCGCTGAAAAAGAGCCAAATGGACACGCATCAAAAATACAGGATGGTTGTGGAACCCTGTAGTATTGGGCCACCCCACACCCAGGACTGGCACCAAGCCACCAGAAATTACAGGATGGTGAACCGCACAGGGGTATTGTCATGGTTGGCGATCGCCCAAACAGCTCGACCTGGCTTCCGAGTCAGGTCGGTGACCTGAAGGACGTGCGCGTGCAGCTCGGCCTAGCTTCAGCTTTCAGCACAGTTTTGGGCTCTCAGCTGCCCAAACTTGCTGTTGTTCTTAGGCAGGCGTGCTTGGGAGGGTTCGCGAACAATACACGGAGAGACACTCCGGCATCTCCGCAAGCAGCCGTTTGTTGAGCACTGCCATTTTTGATGCAGCAGGAAGGGTAGAGTTGCTAGAACATTGGCTTGCAGCTGATCGCTGAGGATTTTCGCGCCTGGAAAGCTGTGGATGGCTGAGTACTGCCGATTGACACGAAAGCACAAGAAGACTCAGGCTCGGGAGATGGTGTGTGTGCGTGTGTGTGTTGTGTGTGGTGTGTGCATGCGTGCGTGCGCACAGGCGTGCTTGCGTACTGGGCCTGCGTGGTTCGTGCGTTCGTGCGCCTGGGTGTCCCTTAGTCCTGAATGACTCTCTGGGTTGAGCGGTGGATGGTTGCGAAGTCCATGCAACGCACCACCGTTCAGAAACCCTGGAATGAGTCGATTCCCCACCAACAAAACATGGTTACCCCTGGTTTCCAAGTGGTTACCCCTGGTTTCCAAATGGTTACCCCTGGTTTCCAAATGGTTACCCCTGGTTTGCCATGGCTTCAAAGAGGTGCGAAATGGATTTCGCAACCATCCCCATAGGCAGACCATCAGGCCAGGCTATGAGGCCACCAGAGCCAGAGCTTCCAAGCAGTTTTTCTTATCCACCTGGAGTCTGCCAGGGGTCATTATTTTGACTGTTTCTGCAGGTTATCAAAGTCAGAGAATGGGGCTGTTTCCCTTTAACCCACCACTTAGGCACTTAGTAAATAACTTTGATCATGCTAAATTAATGGAGCCAGTCTCCATGACCCTTAGAGCAAATGGTTGGTCATTAGCTCAAAGAAGGGGTCATGGCCAACCATTTTGAAAGGGTCATGGAGACTCCAGGCAGCGATGTTTTCGCTGGATCGTGCGCACCGACTCGGGATGTTTGAGTTAGGTTGCGAAGCTTGGGGCAGCTCGTTTCAGGCCTTGGAATCGCACATGCAGATATGAATGACTTCCATTTGCTAAAGAATATATGCCAGGGGGCTTAGGCTTAAGCAAATTCTAAGATCACCATTTCCGGCCGAATCACAAATGCAGGATTCTCAGGCTTTGGAATCGCAATTGCAGACATGAATGACTTCCATTTGCTTAAGCATCTTTTTTCTCCCCTCTTTTGGTTTTCAAGGGAATCAGTTTGCCTGCCCGAAATATGTTCTTTTTTTTTCAGGGGCTTCAGCCCAAGGGCAGATGGCCGGCTTAGTCAACTCGGTCCCCCAGAGATTCGTGCCCTTTCTCAGCCCTTGTTTGGTTGGGAGGGTTCCCCTACCAAAATAGGCAAAACTGCAAAAAGTGGGTACCCTAACCTCCAGCCTCTCAAGTCTGGAGGACCTAGGGATGGATGGAACTCCCCATTTCTGGGGAAGGAAGAGACCAAAGAGACCAAAGGAAGATCATTTTGGGGGACGGTTCCCCTACTAAAATAGACGTCCTGAACAAATGTTGGTACCCTTATTCGAACCTACCTCTCTACTGGAGGACCTAGAAATCAACTTTGGGGTGCAGGTGACGGAAGTCCTGCCCAAGTTCGGCTCGCTTCAGCTGAAGTTCAGTGACCCCCCGGCCGCGGCCTCGAGCCCAAGCCTAGAACCAGTAGGTCAATGGGATACATATCCCCCCCTCCTTAAAATAGGAATCGAGGGGGGACGTACGTAGTGAAATTCCATTTTCAAATTTCATGTGTTTTGTGTGGATTGGCATCTTTGCCTTTTTTTGGTGAGATGGACAAATATATACGTGGGCTTGAAAGTTGACCAAGGATGAACATCCCCCATGTCCCGAACACGCGCAGCTGAAGTTGTAGGCCTGGACCCTCAAACTCTCCATACGAAAGGGCATTCACCCCATAACTTTGAGGGCCCAGAAAATATTCAGGCACCGGAAATCCTCAAGGCGTCACCGGAAATGGTCGGCCGCTTTTGGTTTTTAATCACTGGTTCAACCCAGTGGGTAATTCTCCCAAACTGGGATTTTCCCGAAAATCCCAAACGGCAATCAGCCGTTTGTGGGGGGCAAAATCAACTAGGTCCCCCAGAAATTCGTGCCCTTTCTCACCCCTTTTTTGGTTGGGAGGGTTCCCCTAGTAGAATAGACAAAACCGAAAAAAGGGAGTGCCCTAGCCTCTAACCTCTCAAGTTTGGAGGACCTCACTGCTGTTGGGTTGGATCTTTAGATTTTACCTTTTCGGCTGCCCCTCATATTTTTCCTTTTAACCAGCAAGAAGCTGTCAACTTTTTGCTGGATCTACAGCACCCAAGACCTGTGCGCCTGTGCTCCGAGGTGGCCTCTCGGCGGGTCTTCTTCCTGGTGGGCGACCTCCGGATGGGGCCCATCGACACATGCCCCGGCCAGGTCACCACCGAGGCAGGGCGCGAGCGTCGCATGGCGCATGCGCGCAAGAAGGGCGGGGCGCAGGCGAGGGGTCGATGCCCAGCTTTGTTCTTGGTGGCTCCCATAGCCTTTTAGCTTGTTAGTGTTTAGTGGTATTGTCCATTCAACCCACGAAAAGTTAAACTTCTAGCGGGGGATCTGAGGGCAGCCCAGTTTTTTGGCGGCCAAGTCAATTGAGGTTTCCTGGGAAGGATGTCTACAGGGAGAAAAACCCAGTTCAATCGGGGTGTCCAATATTTGCTTTGGTTCAGCAACTTGTTGGCCCCTTGGGGGGTTTAAGGGGTGTGGTGTTCAGAGGAAATGCAAGGACAGTTCTGTTTGGCCCCTTGCCTTGGCTTGCGAGCCAGGAGGAAACCAGCCAGTGGGGCATGAGAGGGTGGACCTTAAGGGCCCGCTCACGAGGCTTGCAGTAAGCCCTGTCCGCTTTCACGGCTTCTTTTGCAAGGTCCCCGTCAACACCCGCTGTTGCTCAACTTGTCTGAGGGTTTTGGTATTACACCCTGGGATTACACCCTTGGGAAATGACTCAGAATGGTTCAAAATAACAGGGGTTTATCCGGACATGTGCCTAAATGGGGTCAATACCCAGTGGGTGTATTCCCAGGGTGTAATACAAAACCCTTAGAGCCTGGTGCTTGAACAATTCCGAAGCTGTGGATTTTTTTCTCAGAATCAGCCACGAATCTCCTTGTGCCTGCGAATCTGAGAACATCTATGCAAGTGCCTTGTTGCAGGGATGCTCAATGGCTCGCTCGTTAGTACCAACTTATTTTAGCCTCTCTCGTGGTTCCTGGAACCAGCGGTCAGTTACCAATATGGCAGGTAACCAAGCTGGTTCCGCAGATGGAGGTGGCTGGAAGCACTGGGTTTCGCCCAGAATCGACATCGCAACCCTTGGCCGCAGGTCTGCGAGCTCCCGGCGGATTGGCGGGAGCTGCACAGGGGCACTCTGCCCATTCAAGCCGGGCGCTCGAAGTGAGGCAGTGAGTGGGTCACACTACTTTTGGGTCTCCCCGGGACCCTGAAAAATTGTATGAAAACATGGGACAACTGGTAGATGGGTCATATTTCCCAAAAAATGGTAGATGGCGCTCGAAGTGAGGCAGTGAGTGGGTCACAATGCCGATGTGGCAGACGCCCGCCCGATGTTGGGAGGGCATCGGTGGGGGTATTCTAGTTCTTTGTGGTTTATCTTTTCTTTTTTCCTTTTTTTGTTCAGGGGTGGGGGGTCCCCTGAAGAAAGACACACCCATATTTCGGGAACCCTCCCGTCTGGATTTGAGAGGAGGCAACGTTGCCACAAGGATGCTCGCAAAAAAACTGAGAAACATTCAGATGTGAGATCAGGTAAGAATAGTTCAAGTGTTGACTTCCCAAGAATCCGGGCAACGGTTTGAATGCGCCCTTTATGGATTCCCCCCTGTTTCTTGTTGAGAGTCTTTGAGTAGTTTTTTTTCAGTATCTCACAGGGGTAGATCCACAAACGCCACATCATAGCAGTGTCCTAGAAAGAATCCAGAAACCGAAGGCAGACTTTGTGGGAACTAGGGCTTGGTTCCCACTGAACCCGCTCCTGTAACGGTCCTGTGCTTTGCGCTTGGGGACGAGCCCATCGAGCAGGGCACTGATCACGCCAACTCAGCCGGGTCTTTGCTGCGTGATTCAGAGGGCAGAGCGGGGGATGACCATTTGCCCCCACACCAAGGAGCAAACCTGCAAAATATGAATGGAGGTTTCCCTGCACCAGCCAGTCCACTTGGTGGCTCTCAGCCATCCGGTTCCTTAGCCTTTTGGGGTGTTCAGTGGTAGTTTCCATTTAACTCACTAAAAGTAAGTCACTTTTAGCGGGGGATCTGAGGGCAGCCAAGTTATGCGAAGATACGTGATAGGGGCGCTTTTGAAGCACCGCAGTGGCTTCCATTCTCATCTCTACTTCTGCTTCGTTGTTGCTCACCCGCTTGTTCGGTGCAGTTTGAGTGGGTCCGGTGCTTGGTGGCTGGGAATCTGGTTGCATGTGGAAAGATTGTGCAAGCTGCGACACTGCCTGCTCCACGACACTCTGAGCAAGGGGGCGAAGCCCTTCCAAGGCCCTTTGCAATTTTCCTCTGCAAAGTCTTGTCTAGGTGCCCAAGTAATGCCCTTTTACCCTTGTTTGGGGGAGGGTTCCCCTACAAAAATAGACAAAGCTGAAAAAAGTTTGGCACCCTGATTCTAACCTCTCTAATGGAGGACCTAGTTGTGGTTGGATGCTGCCCCATGCGGACCCAGAGCCCGAGGTGCAATGATTCCTACCTGGAGTCTCCATGACCCTTTAAAAATGGGTCATGACCCCTTTATTTTTGCCAATGACCAACCATTTTCTAAGGGTCATGCCCGAGGTGTAATGATTTCTACCTGGAGTCTCCATGACCCTTCAAGAATGGGGACAGTACCCTAAATAATGGGGTCATGGACCTATTTTTATTTCGGGTCATGGAGACTCCAGGTACCTCTTTTTCCCCGGCCGAGGTGGAGATCGAGTCCGCTTGAAGTTGAGAGCAGCATGCTTGAGCCCAGGATGCACCTAGACTCGCCTGTTCGCACACAAGTTGCGAGGAGTCCGTTTTGCACCGGTCAGAGACCCAACGGTTGATTCGATTCCCCAAAGTAAAATACCAAGAAACGTTCTGGTTTCATTCCCATGGCAACTCATTTCGCGGTGCGGAGTTGGAGTTTGCCCCTCTAGAGCCTGGACGAGCCTGGAGTTCGGGGCGGGCCCCCGCGGATTCGCAAGGTACGGATAGGGTCGCCACCGAAGCCCCTAAACCCTCCAACGGGGATTGCTCGCGCATTCTTGGGCCTTTCTACTCTTTGGACTTCCGTGTGTGGGACGTCGCCACCGCTGAGGACAAAATTCGAACGGCACGACGCTTAGATCTTGGCAGCGCATTCTGGCGCAGCCGTTGGTTGAGATCTTTGGCATCCGCCCCTCGGATTGCAATGCGAGTTGGTGCCCTTAGGCTTAATCCCAAGTAACTAGGGGTGGCTTGAAGTTAGGGACTCTCTCTCTCTCTCTCGTTTTCTTTCTATCTCTCTCTCTCTCTCTCTCTCCCTCTTTGCCTCTTGCATTGCATTTGAAGGAAAACCGAAAGCAATTGGACAGGTTGAAGGGCACACTACTATAAAAGACGCAGTGTGTCAAGCCACGGGGGGGTTGGATCAATTCCGCTGTTCCCATGGGACGTGTTTTCGGCGATTTCAGCGCGTGCACGCAGGACTGATACCAGCCAATCCAACCAGACCCCCGCAATCCTTCCAACCCACTCCACCAATGCTGTTTCTGTCTGTTCTTTTCTTTTTCTTTTTCTTTTTCTGGGGGGGGGGGAGGGGGTTAATCTTGGTGGGATTAGGGACAACTCCTCAAACCATGTCTTTCCTGGATCCGCTCGCAGAGGCAAAATCAAGGGAGGTGAACCTGGCTGGTTGTGGAATCGTTCGGCCATGTCCAGAAGCGGCTCGCCACCCCAACCCACCCCAAGCCAACCCCAATCCCAATCCCACCCCACCCCACCTCACCAGTACCAAGGGGATGCCCTTTATGACGATAGTTTGTTGTGGGCCATGGGAACCAACCACTTTGGATTTCACTGGGCTGTTCTCCACACAACAACCAAAAATGGAAGACATTGGAACCTAGCAACCCATTGCTTCACTGTTCTTGGCGCTGTGTGTGTGTGGTTTTGTGTTTGTTCATTTCCCAAGGGGGCTGCATTTCTTTGGCAAGCCCATACCAAGGGTTGTGAAGATTGGGCTCTTGGATCCAGGATGACCTCCTTGTACAGATGGCGCTGCAGTGGTCAGTGTCAGCCGGGGCACCCAGAAAGAAAAGAAGAGCGCAAAACACTCTATAGGCTGATTTTTCATTCTGTTCAACCATCGACCTTTCGAAGTAAACAGGGAGGTTTCCCTGGGTTTCAAAGGAGGTTTTCCGGATTTCGGATCCCTCAGAATGGAAATGGAAGGCATAAGAACAGCCGAGCTCGAGCTCAACCCCCCCAGAAAGGAGAGGCCCGTGTTTTTGGTTGCGAGGCTCGTGGTTTTTTTTTGTGCTGGGCTGAGTCGTTCAGGTCTTCAATTAGCACACCAAGAAACCACAAGAGCCAACAAGAAACAACACGCAACAAAACACCAGCTCGTGCTGCGAAATATGTTCGTACTGTATGGTCCTTCCACAGCACCACACGGACCAGGCGTACAACGTGGCAGCTTAGCAGGGTCTTCAGCAAGCTGGGCAAGGTCCAAGGTATTGTCAGCCACCTTGTATGCTTCAGAGATACCCCAGGTGCAATTTGCAGAGCAGTGAAGGTGTCGCGATGTAAAGTTAACTCCGGATGAACACCGGTTTTATTACTCGCGGGGAACAGCGAAGATTCCCCACTAAACCAGGGGCACCCCCCAATTGATCCACCATTACCAGGGGTTGATTCATCCGGAGCCAACATTCGGTAGATTTAGGTAACATGCAGCTTTCGGTTTTGTTGGGCCCTCACAAAACCAAGGACCTGCCGACAAAGCAGCGAGACACAAATGGCAAGTGGCGCGAACAAGAGCATATCTTGAACCCCGTCAATGGCATTCAAATGGCCAGACAGGTCGAATACATTGTGTGCGCGCGCGCGCGTGCGTGTGTGCGTGCGTGCGTGCGTGTGTGGGTGTGTGGGTGTGTGGGTGTGTGGGTGTGTGGGTGTGTGTGTGTGTGTGTGTGCGTGTGTGTGCGACACTCCACATTGTAGGGTGTTTTCCTTGAGGAATTGACCAAGGCACGCTCCGATTTCTCTGCCAACCTGCCGCGGAAGTTGACAAAAACGCCACCAGCCCCAAGTCATCAAGAAGCCCCTGGCTGTTCGATTGGAAGCCCGCTTTTTCGCTTGAGGCCGCCCAGGCCCAGGCTTCAAGCGTGAGAGGGCGACCAAAGCCCGAAGCAAGCAGTCTAAGAAGCTGGTGTTTTTTTTGGTCGGACCAGTCCCCCGAAGTGGCCGTATTCCCAAACCACTACATCCGAAGTGGCGCAAGCCGCAGATATCACGTGCCGAGGATGAGGTGGAGCTTTTGCGCATTTTGTCGGGACCGTGAGGGGCGCCGAGCTCGTCCATTGGGTCCCGGTTCGGGCCCCGCACGGCTACCCAAAGCCTCCTTGTAAAGCGCGGGCGGTGACAGCATTGCCTGCGACCGGGGAGTTGCAGACAGGACGTACCGTGTCTTTGGTGTTTTTCTCGAGAAAGTTGCGGGAAAACTGTTTTGTATTGACCACCCCCCCATCCAAACTTTTGGGGATTGTTTTTCATGTCGACATTTGACAGACATGAGTTGCATTTTTCCTAGCGAGCGACTGGCTTTTCTTTCTTCGGTTTTCTGCAGCTCCCTGGCTTTTACAGCACAGACTGGGTCAAAGCAAATGCTTCTTCTTGGTTTGTCCTTGGCTGATTCCCAGCTGTGGAGTTAGGCATTCGTCCTAGTTTGACCACGCTGGCAATCAGCCAATTCGGCAGTCCCGTCCTCTTGTGCACGTGGCTCCCAGTGACTGGAGCTGGGCGCTCCTTTGCAGCGATCTGTGGGGGTCCCAGACTTCCAATGCTACCCGTTCTTTTCTTCTTCTTTTTTTACCACTAAGACCTATGGCCACTGGGACACAGAAAAGCAACGAAGCAAGGCATCCCTTTTAGATGTGTGCCTATGTTCTGCAGGTACCGGAAGCCACGCGAGAGTCGGGTACAATCTGGCCGTGTTAGATGGTGTCTAGTGGGCAGCAGGGTGGGTGTGGGGCGTTCGACCAGTGACGCCCGGAGCCCACAATGCCGCCTGACAGATTTCACAGCTCCGTTTGCAGGGGCACACAGGCACTAACAGCAGTTCGGACAGGTACGAAGGATGTTTGCCTGCCGCAAAAGAGCTTAAGTATCACATCTCGGCATCAAGCTACTGATCATCTTGAACTTCAGCATTTTCTATGCATACTTTCATCAAATGAGTTAGAACCAAAACTAGTGTTCTCTTCTAAATCGGCAGCCCTTTGGTGGCCGTAGCGGCGTATAGATGTGAACAGCAACGTAGTTTTGGCTGCGCAGTTCCGGCACGGTGCCCAACATGCGAAGCGGGATCAATGAACCCCCAGTCGATTGCGCTGGCGTCGCGAGTCTCTCGGGATGTTTCAATGCTGAACCAGGTTTGCTGCACATGGTCGAGATTCCAAAAATCTGAGCTGTTCAAAGATAATCCTTCATCCTTACCTTCCTCTTCGAAGTAGGCTTCCCTACAGGGCTTATGGATTAGGATTGGCCTCCATTTTGAACAGCCCAGATGTTTTCTTGGGATTTGGCGCCAGGGGCAAAAATGAGGTACATCTCTTGCAGGTAATCCTTGGTCCGGAAGATCGTCGCCAAAACTTTCCGGGCTTTTCTGGACCGGCCGGACTGGCTTTGGGTTCCTTTGGTGGGTTGATGTGGGGAAATAGCGGGAACCCTGATGACAAATTGGCATCCCTCCTTTGGAAAGCAGCATGCCGCACTCTATTTTCCCTGCATTCACGGCCTGCAGTAGTAGTTGGTGCACGGCGTGTAGACGCCCGTGGTGTTTTCAGCATTTGTCCGGTTTTGTTTCGCATTTGTTTGTCTTTTGGCCCGCGCGAAGTTTTGTGTGTGTGGGACATTTTGTCTAGTTTAGCTGCTGTTTGCGTGGCTTATGAGGTGGAGTGGGGGGGGGGAGGGGGGGGTTGATGTCAAGGTTCGACTGTTGAGCTGTTTTTGTTGGGCGCAAGTTTTTGGAACACCCTGGCTTGTTTTGCGGTGGCTGCCGAGTCGGGTCATTTCTTGTTTCGGCGCAATGCCAATGTCAAATGTCATGCTGGGTGTGGGGGGTGGGGGGTGGGGTAGGACACTGATGTCAATACTTTTTTCAGGCAGGACATTCCATTATTTCGGCTCAATGTGAGCGCCATGGATGCGTATGCTTTTGAAGTGTCTTTGTCTCTTGCGTTTGTTTTGCTTTTGCGTTTGGCTTGCGTTCCACCCCCAAACCGGTCTGAGGTTCTCTTGAGGGTTTGGTTTGGTCTGCTTCTCCCTGGTATGTGGACCATCATTTTGACGTTTTCTGCACAATTTTGCGCGGAGATTCTGTGCTTCACTTCGTAATTCTTGCCTCCATTGATTCCCACCTTGCTTCACTTCTTTGACTGAACATCTTCCTTCGCTTGCCTTTGTTTTGTCTAGACGCTTTCTGAGTGGCAGATTTGGTTTTCCAGTGGTGCTTTCGTATTCGGATGCCGCAGATTTCAGCAGTCCGATTCCAATATGAGCTGAAAAAGCTGTTGTAAAAAGTAGTTTGGCGCAAAAAAATGTTGGACTTCAAAAACTCGCGTTGTCCAAGAGAAAAAAACAGTGCGTGCTGCGAATCACACTGTAACGCCGACGCAGCACGATGCATGCCAGAAAAATCCATTGAAACCACCACGGTCGTCTACACGCCGTGTACCTAGTAGTTTGTTGTGGTGGCAC